TCCCTCCCTCCCTCCCTTCTCTCTTTTTTTATGTAATGCTGGATGAAGGCAGTGACTTCTCCTACCTCCCCCTTTTCTGTTCCCCTACCCCCAGTTCCTCTGCTAGGGGCAGGCCTGACTAGGAGGCAGGGGCTGCCTAGTTTAAAGGCCACGCCCCTCCCTGGCTATGACTGGACCTCAGAATCAGGCATTCTCTGTGATTCACCTCATGACACTGTGGGATGATGCCACAGCACGAGGTGCCGCAGCAGGAGGCACCCGCCGAGGGCATGGTCCTCAAGCTTCTGAGGGCCAATATCTGTGTCACCCTAGGCTTGACAGGGCTGAGGCAGGGGGAAAGCGTGGATGGGATGAGCCCAGGGCAGGACTGTTTGACTTGGGGACCATGAGCATAGCGTGGTGTGTGCTGAGAAACAGAGGACTGGGTCACAGAGGAACTCAGACGGGTGGGCTAGCATAGGACCTCAGTGTCCTACAGCTCCCGCCCACATAATCCCAGGGGAGACTGCAGTCTTCCGAGGGAAGGCTGGAAGGAATTCTACAGGGTGCATGCCTCAGGTTTTAGCACTCCGGGCCTGCCTTCATCTCTTTAGCTGGTGGGTATTGTATTATTCAGTCCTCACCATAGCTTTAGGAGATAACAGGAAGCACAGAGAGCTGAAGTAAGTTGGCCGAAGTCCTGCAGCTGTCAAGAGGCAGAGCCAGACTTCTTGCCTGGAAAGTTCCTTCTGGGCCAGGGCCTCTCACCTCTTCTCTTTCTTCCAGGGGAAGGGTTTGGAGGAGACCTACTGGCTGACAGGGAAGGTGGGATTCTGTCGGCCCCTCCCTACACCTCTGTCAATCAGACCTGGGTGAGTGGGGAGGGAGTCCCCAAAGCCAGAACATGTCCCCATTAGAGATGATCGTCATTTTAGATTCGCAGAGACCTGATAAGACCTGAAAACCACATCACTGGCCCTGTGCTAACTAAGCACTGTCTGCACTGGTGGATGGGAGCTGTGTCTGCTGCACAGCCAGGCTGTTTGGGGTGCAACTGGGGGGCTCCACGATGCTCAGTTAGCCTGCAGGAGAGCTTCCTGTATCCCCACAAAATCTTCACAAACAGACCATCTGTGGGGACACCACACAGGGGCCTGCCTGTGCACCCAGCACAGAGGGTCTTTCTAGTCTGAGCTGAGCATCTCTGACCTTATTACCATCTTCCACAGTCGTGGGACTCATATTAAAAAAACACCAAAAGGCTGCACGAGGGAGACTGTCAGTGCTTGGGCCTCTGACAGCATACTCTGGCCTGCATCCTTGGGGACACCATGTCCTTCACTGGGGGCCATGTGGAACAGTAGCAGGTTGCTCCAACAGGCTGTCCCTCCCTCCCTCCCCCCTCCCTCCCTCCCCTGTCTGCACAAGAGCCTCCACGAGCAAAGGCAACAGGTATAGGTGTTGTCAAAGAACAGAAGGTCCTGGGACCATGATGGCCAAGGGGTTCTGTCCACCAGGGGAGGTTGAGCTGGAAATGCATTGGGCCCCTCCCAGATGACCCCACATTGGGTTAAAATTCTCCCTTCACCAGAGCCTCTAACTCAGCGGTTCTCAATCTGTGGGTTACGACGCGTTTGGGGCTCACATATCAGATATTGACATTAAGATTCATAACAGTAGCAAAATTACAGCTATGAAGTAGCAACGAAATAATTTTCTGGTTGGGGGTCAGCACACCGTGAGGGACTGTACTAAAGGGTCTCAGCATTAGGAAGGCTGAGAACCTCGGCTCTAACTGGTTGCTCTTAGCCACTGCCTGGTCTGCCCTACCCAGCACTTGCTCTGCTGTTCCCGGCAGCTGGACACCTGCTCTTGGGCTTCTGAGCTGCCTCCCAAAGCACACCTCAAGTCTCCCCTCCAGGGCCTTTGCTCTTGAGGTGCTATCCCTTAAAATGCCCTGCTACTCTCGAATTATTTATTTATTTATTTATTTATTTATTTATTTATTTATTTATTTATTTATGTCATTAAGTGTTTTTGTGGGAGTAGCACTGGGACCCCCCTCCTCCATTGACCCCCAGCAGCCCCGCCCCTTCCTACACTTCAGGCCTCAGGTCACAAGCTCCCTCTAAGCACCCAACCTGGTCACACCCTGATAAAGCCCCAGTCACCTCCTGCTGGGTCCCCAGCCAGGCTCTGTCCATGTCCACATTCAGGAAAGCCCTGTCTGCCCCTGACTACCCTGTCCTAGGACTGGGGACCTGCAGGCGTGGCTGCCATTTATCAACCGGAGCTCCCGCAGCTGATGGCTTTTCCATTCTTAGACAGAAACTTTAGAAAGTGCCAGAAACATTTTCATCTTCTGGCTCAGGGAGGGAGGAAACTGGAGATTAGCTTCAAGGAGCATTGCCTGACCCAGAGCCTCAGGCAGGTAGGGGAGGGTCTGTGTTCAGAGTGCACGAACACACACACACACACACACACACATGCACACGCACACTCACACACACACACACACACACACGCACACGCACACGCACACGCACATGCACACGCATGCACGCATGCACACGTACTCAACCACACACACAGGCACTCATGCACACACAAAGCATCTGCTTATACACACAATTTCCATCAAAAGCCAGGCAAAGATCAGGGACAGAAACCCTACCCCGACCATGCCGTGACATAGCCACCGACCAGGGCAGCAGAACTCAGAGGGTCCTGCCCCATCACACCTCGGAGAGATTCCCCACACAGCTCCGTTTCTCTTCCCTCTGACCTTCCCGAACACCATCAAAAGTATCCCTGCGGGCTGGGAGTGTGGTTCAGTGGCAGAATGCTTACCTAGTATGTGTGAAGCCTTGGGTTTTACCCCCCAGTGTCAACAAACGTCCCCTGTGGATTGCTGTGAAGTCTTGGCTGTCCCTCAGACGCCTGCCTCGTTCTCTTGATCAAAGCAATGCCCCGGGTTGGCCAGATCCAGGCACTACGGGGAGAGCATGGGAAGTGAGCGTGTATGAGGGGTGTCCAGGGAACCCCTTGTCCCAATGCCTCCTAGAGTCATATCCCAAGTAGGCACAGAGGGGTGGGTGGCCGGCCACACAGGCAGATGAGGAGTCACTGTGTGGCCATGGAGAAGACATCACGTGTTTGATTGAGCATTGCTCCCACAGTGCCAAAGGTGGGGAAGATCAAGCTGGTGTGCCCAGGGTGCCCAGGGTGCCCAGGGCGGCCTGCTGGGTGTCAGTAGACACAGAGTGGAAGGCATGTCTGCCACTTTTAAAAGCCACCTATCACTATTGTTCCAGCACTTGTTTCTGATCCTCATCTTTCCTTTCTCCTCAGAGACCCATGGCAGGACCGCATAAACCAAGAAATCCGGACCGGCTTTGCCAAAGCGCGCCAGGGTCTGGCTGAGCCCAGGAGGTCAGGGGAGGCTGAGCCAGGTCCCTGATAGGAAGTTAGTGGGTGGACCCAAGGCAGCCAAGATGCCCCCCACCACCACCCCCTACGAGGAATGCCTAGTCAGCTCCCTGGTGATCTGCCACCCATGAGTGGCACGAGCTGCTGTCTTCCCTAGTGACTCCCAGGGTGTCCTTACGTCCTGCCAGGGACACAATAAAAGTAGAAATACTCCCTTCCGCCCCGCAGTTCTTTACTCTGAGTTGGACAAGGCATTTTGATGCAGAGAGAGCGCTGTTTCCAAGCCCCTGGCTCCTATGGAGGACCCTGTCCCCACCACATGGCTAAGGGGCAAGGCAGAGTAAGGAGGGCTGGGCACAGCTCTTCTGGGGGAAGTAAAAGCCAGGCAGGTGAGGGCTCCTCAGACGGGGACGGCGCCACGCCCCTCCCCCACCACGCCCCTCCCCCACCACAGCACACAGAACCTGTGTGTTATCCTCTCTAAGAGCATCGGAGGATTCTCAGAGTGCTGAGAGTATATCCTTGGTCCCTCAGGAAGCTCCCAGCCCTGCCTACTCCCCTGCCTCATCAGAACCAGCCCACAACTTCAGCAGCTGGGAGCACTGTGCTGAGAGTCCAGTGTGTGCTCCCAGAATCTCAGGATGGGGGGCAGGGGAGGGGCTGCAAATTCCTCGGCTGTCAGGAAAAGGGGAGTTCTATCATTCAGAAGAAGAAAGAACAAAGCCCAACTCATTAAACTACGGCACATCAAAGAATGCTCCCCAAATCCCTGTGGGTGATTTCAGAGGCGGCGAAATCAGGCACACATGTAACTCATTTCCCCACTGAGGGGAGAAGCCTGGGGCAGGGGCGGGGTGTGGGGGGGAGGGGAGCCACTAAACAAACTCTCCTTCAGAAGATCCCTTGGGAGGGGGAGCTGCAGGACTTTGTCCCGAGGGTTCTGGGAAAACCTGTCTAGGGTCACTGTGTCCAGAGTCCCTCTACCTGGCCTTCCCTACCTGTGTAACTTTGGGTCTTTTTAAGCAAGGACAATGAAGATGTTCTGTCCCACCCAGGGTGCTGTTGCTGGAGGGCTTCTCTCCAGGTTCCACTAAGCCCCGCAGTCCTACAATCCACTTATAAAATAATTACTCAGACGCTTATATTACTTATAAACTGTATGGCCGTGGCAGGCTTCTTGCTAACTGTTCTTATATCTTAACCCATTTCTATAAATCTATACCTTGCCACGTCGCTTGTGGCTTACCGGCGTCTTTACATGCAGCTTGTCCTGGCAGTGGCTACAGTGTCTTCCCTTCTTCTTCTTCCTGTTTCCCCAATTCTCCTCTCTCTTTGTCCCGCCTATACTTCCTGCCTGGTCACTGGCCATCAGTGTTTTATTTATATAGAGTGATATCCACAGCAGGGGGTTCCTGCTGCTGTCTACCTAAATGACCTTTGCCCTTTCCAACACCCAGTAAACCCCTACACACCCGTCAAAACCCACCTGAAAAGCCCCTTTCTCCTCCTCTTGCTACAGCCCCCTCCCCAGCCCTCCTCTGAATGACTTGGCAGTTGCTATGGCTGTCATCACGGGGCAGCAGCCTTACTCAGCTCATTCCTTTTCCCTAATGTCTCCGTAGACGCAGTCAAGAGGGACTGAATTGGTGAATGGACAGACATGTGACAAAGCTAAGAAGCCCATGGGCTTCTTATGACAATCCTTCCCCGGGTTCTTGGACTCACGCTCACCCAGGGCCCAGCGGTTTAGGCTCGGCCGCATGTCAGTTGGCCTTAGCATCTCTTGCCCAGCCCCTGTTCACAACCCCTCGGCTCCTCCAGCCCTGGGCCAGCCTGGGAGTTCCTTCCCAGACCCTGGTTTCCACCCCTCCTGACAGATTCCTCCTCTTCTTTCAGGTCTCTGCTCTCCGCCACTTCCTACAGGAAGCCTCCCCTGAGGCCTTCACCTTCCCCTGAGTGCTATGCAATGGGCGTCTTTCCTGACTCCTCATCCCAGCCATTCTGGCTATACCAACCTCTCTGCGTACGCCTCTACGGCAAACCCGAGGCTTCCTGAGCAGTGCTGGGTCTACACCTTGCGTTTGTGACTCTGGTGTCTGGTCAATAGAGAAGGAACTTAGGGGGGCAGCAGAGATAGAGGTGGCTACCGCAGTCAGGTGAACATCCGGGTAATGTTACTAATGTATGTACTGATGAGTGAACACAGCCCAAAAGGGAGAGGCTACATTCTAGGGGATGCTGTTAAATGTAGCAGATCAAGGGCACAGGTATTGGTCATCTGCTATACACAGTCTCTGGCCAGCCTCGAGGTCCTGGGGAGAGGGCCAGCAGCTCCTTAATGAGAAGCCAAGGTCCCCAAGCCAATCCTGGCTCCCTTCCAAGGGTAGACCCTCTTTCCAGACCCTCCTCACACGTTCAAGGCTCCAGTCTCAGCAGGATGGGTCTCAAGACATCCACTAGGGGGCAGGCAAGGCATTCCAGAAACTTGGCTTTTTCAGCCACGGGCTGCTGGCTCACTCAGCTGCAGCAACTTGCCTGGGGACCCCACCTGCCCACTGAAGGGCAGCAAGAGATGACAATGTCCTGTGCCGGGCAGAAGGCCTGGGGGCACTGAGAGGCCGTGTCAAAGGGTTTACTGGCTTCATTAGTCATACTTCCTACCAAGTGACAAGCAGGTGCCGCTCGTTTTCAGCACTTTCCCTGGCTCATGTGGCTTATTGTATTGTACCCTCTCCTGGGAGGCAAGCCAGATTGTCCCATTCACAGACAGCCAGGCACTCAGTGGCAGGCCCTACCACTGATGGCTTTGGCCTGCCTTCTGGGCCCCAGACCACAGACACCTCCTTGAGGAGTCCCAGGTCTCCCGACTGTGCCAGACGGGTGGTGTCCCTGTCCTCATCCTGGGTCCCCCTTCTCTCCACCGCACACCAGTCACCCACCCAGTCAATCCACCACAGTGGACTCCACCCTTCAGCTTTTGGGGGGTGGGATGGGGATGGAACCCGGGCCTGGGCACATGCAATCCTCCCATCTAGATTTCGACATTGTCCTAACCTCCAGAGTCCAGTTGTTGTGAGGGCAGTGGCCTCCGTCAGCCCACTCGCCTCCATCTTGTTCCAGTGTACCGGCAATTCAGACTTCACGTGTGTGTCGCTTTTCTGTTTAGCCCCGCTGCTGGTGGCCACGAATCTTCACCAAAACACTCCTGCCAGCAGCCCCCTCCCCCTGCCTGTCAGTCCTCCCCATCTTTGTGGCTCTCTCATCCCTTAGTCAGCTAATTCCAACTAGAAGGTTGAAACTGCAAAAAGAATTCCTGCCAATAGGCTCTGGAGACTGTCCCCAGTCCCCGCTGAGTCAGGTGTGGGGTGCTTCTAGCTTGAGAGCATCACCATACCCACCCAAACCTTCTCGGGGTTGTCATGCTTGGAGTGAAGGGGGGCTGGCACCAGGCAGAGAATGTTCTCTGTCGCCTTCCTCTGTGTCTGCTCTGAAACCGGATCCAACTTCCCAGTGGTTCCCCTGAGAAATAGGGAGCCTTTGAAGATCTCTGGGTGCCCTAGAAGAAGGCCATCACCAGTCACCACACAGCCAAGCCTGGCAGACTCCTGCCCACGTCAGGGCTCACCGGAGCTTCTCCTTGGCAGTACTTTTCCCCTCTGCAGCCTCTCACCAGCAGCTGGTCACCAACTCCTCTGTGGACCAGTGCCTGGCCTCAGCCTCCTGCATCTTCCTGGTTACTAGGGATCACTGCGGGACTGGCCACAGAGGCCCAGCAACTCTGTGTGTGTGTGTGTGTGTGTGTGTGTGTGTGTGTGTGCAGGTGTATACATGTGGGTACAGGTGTGTGTGTGTGTGTGTGTGTGTGTGTGTGTGTGTGTGTGTGTGGTGTGTGTGTAGGCAGAGGTTGATGCTGATGTCTTCCTTGACCTCTCTCTATCTTAGTTTTTGAGACAGGGTCCCCCACTGCACCCAGAGTTTACTGATCAGGCTAGACTGCCCGGCCAATGAGCTCCAGTCTCAGGCTCCCTATTGCTAGGATCAAAGGTGCCTACTGCCACATCCATCCTTGTATGGGGGTGCTGGGGATCAGAACTCAGGTCTTTGTGCTTGCATGGGAAGCACATTACTGACTTAGCCATTCTCCCAGCCCTAAGGCCTGGACTCCTTAAAGGCCTGGCATTCTCCTGGACTGGGCACACTGTGAGGCTCTCATGGACAGCCCATAGAACGTCTTTCATGTCACCCAAATCAGGAGAACATGGATGGGGTGTGTGGAACTCCATCTTCTCCATAGTCCCATGAGGTAAGCAGGGGTCATCTTTTTAGATGAAGGCATTCAAGCTGGGTTCAAGGTCACCCAGCCACCCCATGGCAGAACTGAACCTCAACTCCAAAGCCACCTGGTAACTTCACAAGCTACAGAGTAATGAAGTGACATGGACAGCTTCACCCCGCCCCAACAGGAAGATAGAGTGGGGACCCAGTGGTGAAATGGGAACATTCTGGAATGAAGGCAAAGGAGGAACCAGTTAGGCCTACACAGATGTCTGCTTGGTGGATAAAGGATCTAAGGAGAGCACTGGGGACAGAGGTCAAGGTCAAGCCAATAGTGTGAGTGTCAGGCTGTGGGGGAGCAAAGGGAAGGCCAGAGACCCAGGACGATTTGGGCTTCTGTCCCTGTGTGCACCAGCAGCCTCCACAGTCTCTCTCATCCCTCCCACAGTGCCCTTTCCTGGCTCCTGAGCCCAAGAAATACAGACACAAGGCACCCTTTGGGCCCCTTTTGCACAGTCAGCATGGAGCCCCTGGGTAGTTCCTCCAGCCCTTGCCTCTGGAATTTTCCATGAGAGAGAGGAGGTGGGGAGGAGGGGAGCAGAGAGGGGGGAGCTGGAGAGGAAAGAGAGAGGGGGACTGGGAAGGGCTTTTGGTGGAGATAACTGGGCAGGCTGGGGAGAGCAGGAAGGAGAGAGGGGACAGAGGAGGACATGTGTGGGTGTGTGATTTGGAAGGTGGTGTGAGCAGTCCAAGAGACAGGAAAATGGGAAGGGTGGTGTGAGCCGTACCCCCAAGTGCTATCACAGGTCTTCACTCAGGAGAGTGGCCTGGTCCATGGCTGCCACAGGGACATAGGAACAGGAAGGGGACCTGGGACTAGAAAGCCGTCCTGGGGAAAGGTTCCAGCTTCAGAGGGGGAGGTGGGAAGTAAGAGAAGACAGAAGGGAGGGATGCAGACCAGTGGCTGAGGAACTAGGCACAGAGTCCGGGCATGGTAGCCCTGGCCTGGGGGCACTGAGGAGCTGGAGGCGGCAGTGGGAAGCAGGAAGACAGGAGAGCAGCGGGCTCTCTTCTAGGTCTGGCTGGGAAAGAGGGCTCTGTCCCTACGGACGGAAAAATACACAGGGAGAGCCGCTGTCTAGAATGTTCCTCCCTCAGGACCTGTGTCTGCCAGCAGGCAGCACAGCCAGACTACCAGGAGGCTGGGCAGACCTGTGAGACCCACTTGGACAAGGTCAAGTTTGTTCTGGGGAATAGAATTGAGACCTCGAAGCCCAGTGTCCTGCCTGCCTGGCACACACAGGAGTGACAGTCAGCAGGCAGGAGCCACATAGCCTGGAAGAGGCCAGAGTGCAGAAGTCCTGCAGCCCCCAAACCACATCCAAGCTTCCTGAGCTGGAGAGGAATGGCCTTGGGAGGTCAAGCATCCATTGACGCAGTCCAACCTCCTTGCATCTGTCTAAATGAACCACAGGATCCC